GTCATATAAATTACAGGGTAGGCGTAATGTTGATTAACTCGAGGGTACTGAAAGTGTCGTCGCAATCAGCCGCTTTTTGCGCGAGTTATTTGCGAAAAACTGAGGGTAGGAGGGCTGTTCGACACCTTCCTACAAGTGCGAAGGTTAAGGTCAGGCCGTTGACCAATGACGTCAAAAGTGAACCTCTGTAAGGTCCCAAAATGTCGCGACGTCGCAGCACCCTTCGTGCCAGGGGACTTTTCAACGGTGAATGAAGCTTATATGATCTAGTACTATCTCACAGAGGCCTCACAACTTGTATGTAGCTATCTCGTATTTTTCTTAAGAGTGACCTGAAGTCAGGTCGGACACGCAACCTCGCGATTATCAATCAGTTGGGAAATATGAAAGCTGTTATTTTGGCGCCAGGAGCCATCTAAAGCTGTCTCAAGCGCATCAATTCGCGCTTTTATACAATCTTTGTAAGCCCCAGCATTCACTTTTCCATTCTTAAAGTTAGGCGACTTCATTTATGACGTCACTATGGTCACAGGAGTTTTCACCAAAAAGTCCCGATCAAATTGAGCTAGCGAGTAGGGAAGCCACCAGTGGACTTGTGAGGACCTACCAAATCGAAGAAGCTACATATATGACCTCCTTGGGCCAGCTTCGTGGCCTGAGTGGCTCTGCCCTGACCATGACCTGATGTGAACATGCCTTAAATTGACCTCAACGAAAACAAAGCGTATACTATTCGACGCGCTTCAAGTTGAGCATGCAAAACTCGATGGTGCCATAATGTTGGCTCTGTAACCACTTAAGTGGTGAAGTTGTTTACCAAATACCGATCCCGCGACTTTGAGCTGACCTCAGAGTTTATCGGTTGACCCGAGACATTCAAATCGGGTACCAGTTGCTGAATCTCATACGACGCACGCGCTCAGTTTTATTCGCAAGGCGCTAGCTCAATTAGGGGCAAAAAGACGGAGAGGGGTCGCAATCACCTCGGCCGGGGTATACTCGTATGCAGAAAACCCAAAATTCCGTTGAGGGTTAAGCACTGAAGTGATATGATGCGACAAGGTATAGGTCAAAACAAGTATGCACACGAGCGGGTGTGAATAAAACTGTGTTCGAGGTATGCCTTTTTATTATACATTCGATTTGCTTTAGTTATTGGTAAGAACAGATACAACCAAGAAGAGCGCCCCTGAAGAAAGGGTGGCGCACCGGACAGGTGCGATTTTAAGGTCTAAGGTCAGTCGGGACCTCTAAGTTCGGGTCAAGCGCTGCATGTTAGGGGTAAAAAATGGGGGCAAAAAAGCATCCCGATTTTGGCAGCATCGTCATGCTTTGTCATGGCACTGATCCACTCCCTCGGCCGAAATATTATTACCCTTTTGTATGAGTTCTGGCATAATCCCGCACATTATGCTGCAATGCATGTTCAGCTACGTTCTACGCAGTACGCACTAACCTAACCACCATCCCATCATCCACCACTAGCCACTATCCCGTTCTGTGCCCCCTTCCACCCCACACGAATCAGCCGAGACACTAGTCAGTCGGGCTAGCGCTATCCTATCCTCCCTTCCTGACTGCACAGCGCTTAAACCCAGAGCCGAGACTTCCCGAGCGCGACCTCTGACCCCACGCGGTCCGAAGGGTCGGCCGATGCCTAAGGGCGCGCCGCGCGCCGGCCAGCGTATTCGCCAATAGTATTACACGAATCGGCCCGACCAATAGCGTGCCTCTTGAGTGACGTCAGCGTGGCGTCATACGTTCGGTCCTCGCCCTTGGTGGAGTCTATTGAAGCTAAGTTTTAACTTAATGACATTTAAACTCCGTCATACATGTTGCCGCCGTGGCGCAGTGATTAGAGTATCGGATTGGTGATATGGAGGTAGGTGGTTCGAATCCACTCGGCGACATCAATTTTCGTGTTATCTGTCATTGTGCGTTTTTTGGATACATTTGCAACGGCGTGCACCTAAGAAATCAGAGGTAAGCATTCTTCAAATGATATGTTGCATACCTAAGAGAAATATTTGCAGTCCAACCGATTGGTTCGGTTTCGGTATTTTCCAATGGTTTTTGTTTGAATTTGGTTTGGTATCGGTGTTCTGATTTTCTGTGATTGACAATTGACATCACTAATGCATAGTGCATACTATGCGAACGTAGCCAATGGAAAGACAAATGGTGCTGGGCGATGACCATTGATCAATATTTCTCACTGCCAATGGGTGATAGCACCGAGCACGCAGCTCCTGCTGGATATGACAGGGGTGGCGCTGACCTTTTGAAAGTAGGTGGCACTTGGCAAGGTAAAGTACCTAATAGTAGCGAAAACTAAGCTAAAAATCGCACGCTGGTTAGCATGCAATTAGATAGTTTTCATGTAAGAATCACCATGCACAAAAAAGTTGGGCATAGCTGTTAGCGTAATCAGGGGACGAGATTATTAGTTTCCAGCCGTCAAAGGCGTCATCTATAGGAGCTATGCCTTAACTATAACTTTAACATTTCTGCCACCAGGGGATCGACAGTATCGACAGTACCGTAACACAATTGGTATTTCAGGTACAGACTGCAACTGCAGTTCTTTTGCAACTTATTCCTTAATCAGATGAATACTTGTCATAGATTTATTGGGCGTACGATATTGGCGTGCGAACTTAGGGCCTAGGGGCCAAAAATGCGTGTCTAAAACCGACTTCTTAGAAAAGAACCGCTAAAGCAGGAATCGATCCATCGACCCTTCGCTCATCACACCGAGACTCTAACCACTCGGCTACGACGACACACTGTCAATTGAATTGCCATATACAATCAAAAAAGTCTCAACTCAAATCTGGCCTCAATGCATGATTGTCACGTCGGATGGCTATGACGTCGCACTAGAGATGTCGCTAGTTGGTGGGCCGATTCGTGTAATACTATTGGCGAATACGCCGCCGGCCACCCGGATAGCCTCTGCCAAGTCTCCCTTTCATACACCGTTTACTACGCGCTCGATTCATTCATGATTCTGTGTTTCTGCGTTCCTCTCGTTAGATGGCTCTACTGATGTCATAGGCGATCCCAGGAAGATTGCGGCCAGAATACCCCAAACGGCAGAAAATGAGGTTTTTGGTGAATATCTCGGAAAGTATTTGGCATACAACGATGCAATTTCACAGTCTCGTGGTAAATGTGCATACACACAATTCGGGTTGATACTTATGCATTTGAACATTATATAGGACCAGATATGTCCGAAAAAGCAAAACCAACAAGACTTTTACTGGAGAGCCGTACATGCTGTCACTTGGAAATCGTAACAGCAAGACGGACTCCACACCTTAGATTGGGCTTATCATGCAGTAGCGGCGGAACACCTTCAATTAAGGGGGGGGGGCACCGCCGACTTTTGGTCCCATTCATTCCATGCAACGCCCATAGGGCTAATGTTAAAATGTCAAAATAAAAGGGGCATGGTGCCCCGGTGCCCTCCCCATTCCGCCGCCTATGTTATCATGGTATACCTACATTTTCCATCCAGTTTGGTAACAAAGTCCAAAGTTTATATCCCGCGCCCTGGTTGGGGGGGGGCTATTTTTTGCCCCCGCCCCTCCAGATTTTTCAACTTATAAAAAGGTTTCCCTTAAAACTCATAAGACCCATAAAAAGGTTTCGCCGGAAGAGCTGTCAGGCCTATACCTAAGTTTGAAGATACAGAAAAACATTTCGGACATACCTAAAAGGTATAGAATTGCCAGGGCTAACAAAACTGCTATCTCGGAATTTTGTTTTTTTTTCTGTATTTTGACCCCACAAATTTAAAAAAAGAATATAATTGCCAAAAATCCCAAAAAATCAATTTTCGAAAAACTGGAAAGCATGTAATAGGTAGCCCTTACCGTATACCAAATTTTAGATCGATATCTCTTTTTTGGCAAAGTTATAGCGAAAAATATGTTCAAAATTGATGACGTCAAATTTTCAATGTCAGTTGTTAGCAATTCTAAACCTCGCAGCGCAAAACAAAGACCACCATTAGACTCCCCGTGACGAATTGCACCGAATCAATACCCATTTTATGCAAAACTATCAACATTGAAATTTAACCCTTTTTGACCTGACCTTGACCTGACGTCCTCCACCAGAAAGTGGCCTAAACCGTACCTGATGGTGTTATAACCAACACCATTGAGTTGGAAAGTAAAAATTGGTCACAAAACATGCATCGCACAGCCTTAGTAAAGTTGGGTTCATGTGCTGACCCATGGTGACCTGACCTGTGACCTGACCTGGTATTATCAGTGACCTCTAATAGCAACATATGTGCTAGGCAACTGACGCGCTATCGCTGATTTTCGACAAAATGCGTTTTACTCGGTGTTTTAGCGCCTTCCCTGGAAGCACCGTGAACGGTGAAACATTTTATCGTTGACCTGACCAGTGACCTGACCTGTGACGTCATCGGTAACCCTGAGGTCAATGAAATTGGATTCCCTTCAACAAATTTGATAGGGTTTTCGAACGCCGTTTGAATTTTGCGGATCTGTTCAGTAGTTTCGGAAATACGAGGGGGACAAGATCAAATAGCCCCCCCCCCCCCCCTCCACCAGGCCGCGTTATAAACGGACCCCACCAGGGCGCGGGATATTTGCCCGCAAAACAAACTTTTTCATTTTGTTGCCACACAAGGCGTTTACTTTGCTCAGTGATAGATCCAATCGAAGGAGAGGAGCATGTCGATGTCGCATTTATGTGCAATGAGTTCCGACCGACTGATAACATATGTCTTTGAGTTATTATCGGAATACCTACCTACCTACCACGCAGTGTGCAGAGGGCTGTACCTACCTTGGCCGAGGGGGGCCGGGGTACGACCCCCCTCCGCCGTTTCGCCCCTGGTGGAGCTATCGCGTCGTGGAAAAAAACGAGCGTGTGCGCTGTTACGAGACGCAGAGATTGATAACCGATAACCGACCTGACCCGAAAATGCGATTGGTGTCAAAAGACCCGGCTTAGGTGGGTGGGGATGTCGCGAAACCCTTTGAGCTCTCGGCTGCGGCTGCAGTTGCCGGCGGCCGGGCTGAGAGCCTGAGAACCTCCTGCAGTGACACCGAGCTCTTGACAGGGAGCGGGGCCGGCTCGGGCGGTGCCAATCACGGACCGTTCCGGCGGCGCCGGCGCCCGGCCCGCCGTATCGACCCACCGGCCGCCGTTCCGTCGTTGGAGCGTGCCCCATTGACGTCACGCAATGTTTACGTCGGTCAGCTGGGCGAGCTGGCGCAGCGTCGCAGCAGAAGTGTCTGCGCCGCGGCCGTGGTGAGAGTTGTCCCGGCCGGTCCGGCGCCTGGCTGCTGCCCCGAGTGGCGACGTCCGAAGGAGATCAGTCAGCAGACAGGTGAGTGCAGAGACGGGAGGGAACTGGGGAGGGTACTGCTGACCTGCAGCGGTGACCGGCGCGACCCACCGGCCACCGACGAGCCGACAGCGGCCGGCGGCCATCGTCGGACGGGGCCGACGCGCCGCCGCCGCCGCAGTGGCGGCGCGCACCGTTTGCAAGCGCCCTGGCCCGTGGCCTTGGCTCGTGCTGGGAGGGGCGACTGGACGTGCTGTTGCGTACCTGGAACGTCAGGGCTGGGGCTGGCCCCGGGATAGTATGCTGGGGTACCCCACCCGGGGACATATTCATTATTCAGATACCGGCGCAGTCGGTCAGGGTGCAACATCGATCGACCCTACCGACCACCGCCCGGCCGGCTGGGCCTGTCCGGCTCCGGCGCGCCGTCCTGCACCCTGCAGACCGGTGAAGGGGCGCGGTCCTGTCGGTGCAACCGACCTGGATCGGCCGTCACCGGGCACCGCCGTGCCGGCACCGACCGCCGCCGGGGCGGCAGTCTCGGCGCGCAGCGCCGCGCCGCGCCGCGCCGCCGCTGCCTTTGTTCTCCGGCCGTCCATGGAACCCCGCGGCCGGGGTCGATGCCGGCCGGCGGCGCCGCCGACTGCCCGACGACCGACCGCTCCGGGGCGCTGTGTGTGACGCTACCATGTCAGCCAGATGTGTCCGAGTAGATGCTTTTTCAGGCGAAGTTCCTCTTTCCAGTGAAAGAGGAACTTTTTGGATGACCGAGAAATGTATAGCTCTACGTGATATGAAAGTTCGTATTGTTACAAGTATTTCTCGTGGACAGTGATAATCTTTCCCAATAACTGAAACTCAAGCTCGTCAGGCAACCACTTGGGCTTGCACAGGAGTCGCTAAGACATGTCACGGGCAAAGACTCAGTAATTTATAGTCATTTGCGTCACTGCGTGACTTAGAACGAGCATACAATTCGAAACATTAATAGGTACCTACAGCCGAAATCGTTTAATTAGCATGCCTAACTATTAGTTTTTTATGTTCACCCGTCCTGAATCTTAATCCATTTTTTCATTTTTTTATTTTTAAGCCAAATGTAATAAATTATAAAATTGTACCGACCTACCTATGCTTATCATTCATGAACTCTTCTCAGTCAATCCTCATTCTTCATCCCTCATCTCCAATCATTGTGATTGCAGTGTCCAGTCATCATAAGCATCTCTGCAATGGACCGAAGTTTTAATTTTTTAATAAGCTACAGTGCTATGGGAATAATTTATCTAGGAACAAAAATAAAACGTTAAAAAACGCACATATGTATAATTGATCCTAGTGGTAGGCCTATATCTTAATGAATTATTAAATAAAGCAACCGTTAACCACCAAATAACAACCGCTATTCACTTTCAAGTTTCAGCCTGAAACCATTCAGGACTGACTTCATAAAAGGGCTTTCCAGGCGGCCGCTTAGGTCCGATAATGTTATGGTAGGTATACTTTTCGATATTTCCCTTATATTTCAAAAATCTTCGAAATTCGACCAAAGAGCTCCTTATTGCTGCAGCAAATCTCTAAAACGTTATGCCGATTGCTGATACGCACGTTTTGGCCCGTATAATTTGAATGCCATTTTCTTTTCGAGCTATTTCGTATCTATAAACACTGGTTTTTCGTATTTTAATGGTTCACTGATGCGGCGTCATCACTTCCAAACGAGTTGACCGACACGTAAGCACATTAATGTCATTTCTCGAGAAACAGCTCAATGGAATTGACCGTAAGTTTCTTGCAGCAGCAGGCTGTTCCAGAGAGGTCGCCCTCTTGCCGGCGTTTGCTTGTGTAACACGTCATTTCCACCCTTCTTGCATCAGGCACATGACTCAGCAACAGCCTGAGTGGACATTGCCAGGCGAATGACCGCGACTGGACCTTGAGTTGCCTTGACACAGTCCAGTTTTCAGTACCCGCTACTCACCGTCACCGTCACCGATCCTGGCCGGTATCTCTTTGTGTGCTACCTAATAAGGGTAATGTCAGGCGTAATCTTTTCATCAAAGAACTGCAAAGAACAGCTTTCTTATTATATGAGTTCTTGTTATACGGGTTTATTTTAATTCCGCTTTGTATACGAGGGAAAAGTAAAATTGCGAAGCCGACCACGTAAATGATCTTTCATAAATGCGTAATATAATATGCAACATGTATACCTTGTACTCTGCATTTTAGAAATGTAACTTTTATGGTTAACTTTGCGATTTCTCCCCTCTTGCCCAAAATTAATTTTCTAACTCGTTCCGAAACGCTTTTATCTAGCGAATGGCAGACCACGGTAAATGCTGAAAATATGTGCGTGGGAATTATTGTTCGGGGCAGCTGATAGCCAAGTGTTTTGCTCCGGTGCGGCCTATAAGGATTGGTTAGAAATAGACACTTGTGAGTTGTGGGCTGCGGCCACAGCGGCTCCTGCATTGTCTCATTCACCGATCACATGTGTGCCCTTTCATCTGCTCAATCTCTTCTTCCGTAACCACATCTGTGCACCCATACGAACACCTGTGGATCTATAACCATAGCTGTGACCTCCGGCACACCCACACCGGCACAAGAAGACTTACACCTGCAATCTGCATGCCCACACCCGCACCCGCGCCCACATTCCTACCTGTCCTGAGCTGCGCACAAACATGCACGTTGCACAGTGCACATTGCACCGTGCACAGTGCACCCACCCACACAGGGCGGGCGGGACCCGGATGTAATCCTGCAAACGGTCGTGGAGGCGGAAGGGTTTGACGTTTAATGTTCCTATGAAGTAACCTGTGTGCACGGAATATTTGACGTGCAAGGTTGCTGTGTGAACGGAATGCTAATGTCTAATTGATGGAGTCTATAGTGGTGCTACGCAGATGCAGGTGTGGCTGGCATTGAAGGAAGTAAACAACTACCACCTAAATACCTTCATCTGATGTATGAATCCTCGCACACTCTAAGCCAACTCAATCTGATGAGCAGCGAAGCTTAACAAGCGATCGATCTATACGTAATATGCTGTTCTTAGTTGCCATTTACCCGTAGACCGAAGAATCTGCGTTGCGCCTGTCCGGGACATTGTGAGGATATCTATCAACCCGGTGCCACATGGCTTCCCGGCAACAGCAAGAAGAGCTACCCAGGGTACCCGATTTCATCATCCACGGTGTCCACGGCTTGGTATTTTTACATGTGGTCCTGTATGGGCTATTTCAAGCTAGAATGGATAAAAACGTGGGTTCTTTTACTGGCACAGGCCGAGATCTGCTCTGCATCACATGTTCCTTTCATCCGTCTACCGACTGAGTTGAGCTCATGGTCATGTCACCCACCAGCAGCGCCTTTCTGAAACTGTTGTGATTTGGACCCCAATTACGATGCGCAAGCCTTCTTCGTCCCATTTATGGTAATGTTAATCGCACTCTGTGTCGTGCATGCATTGTTTGCCATTGCTCGTCACGTCTTTGTGGCGCTCCGCACATAGTTGTTTTTTTTTTGCGTCGTTCATTCGTCGAACCCTGTCTAAATATGTAGGCTTGTTTTCTGGATTATGATTTACTTCGTACCTTCTTTATTTGCTTCCATTGTGCTATTGCGATTGAAATTCAGAATAGTGCCTATCATTTCTAGGCATTTGGAAGCTCGCGTGACTACCATAAATGGCTCCGAATTGCACCGAGCCGACACCGAAGGAGGACTATAGTAGGTAACTCTAAACATACCAAGCTGAGGAAATGGGTATCCGTCGGAAACGTGCAGGCTTGGAGGACTCTGAGGCAGACATGACGCCGGAGATTGTGATGGTGCTGCTTCCGTATCAACTAATGGTGAATGGGGAATAAGACATTCTGCGCTTTCGACTCTCCGGTGCTGTATTCCAAAACAAGATCCGGCATGATGCGTCCCTTACACTCAGTTCTGAGCGTTCTGAGGTGCCTCTTTGAATAGCGGATATGAGGTGATGATATGCGGATATAGCCATAAGCCAAATACCGTTGACATGTTAGAGCCAACGACGTGACTTGCAACGAACCCCCACTCCCCAGTCCGCTGTGTCGTCCTCCTTTCCCCTCGATGCTTCCCTCGAACAGTCATGCGCTCTTGGCGAACGCCCATTTGGCGCCGCCCCCTCGGAAGAGGGGAGGAGGCAATGTGTTTTAATTGGAACGAAGTCAAGAGTCGTGTCACTTCCACTCAACTCGTGGAAACGGTAAGAACCATTTCTATAGTAAAAATCTAAGAAATGTCGAATTTCTTAATTACATAAACTTCAATTCACCACAGAAGGATTTGACTTTTTTCAGAAAAGCACAGCTAGTTTTTTTCACCGAAATCGATCTTGGTAGCGACCATTAACCCCGCATGACTTCAAGGCTTGTTAAACTAGCGGTGTTTTACTATCCTAGCAATGCCTGTGGTCATTGTGGTCCAAAGCCTCTGTTCATTGTTTGACTGGAAGCGTATCTGGCGTGTCCTATTCCAATCACAGGCCAAGCAAATTTCCCGACGGGCTGCCTTTCAAACTCCACTGAATGACGGTTGATAGCTGAATCCAGTGGATCTTTGGAGATCCTCGCATTGGCTCGACTTGTCAACTAGACGTGTTTGCGTAGCTCCGCTGAGTCCACAGATGCCGCTCCTTGTAACGCAACCGGCTGCGGTGGACCTGGCTGGTTCCTTGCCCGGGGGGCTGACCCCCGGCAGACCGTATTGATCCGGGCCAGTCGGCTAAAAATACACGCCATCTGCTGCCATTGAAGGAAGCCGTCGGCGTACGATGGCGCTCCGCGCGGACCGACTCCGCTCCCCGCTGCACGCGCCGGGACTCTGGCCCCTCTCCATGATACTCTTGGCCGTCTGGTATACACACTGTGTGATGGAGAGAGCACCTACAGTCCGGCGATGGGTGTGTTGACTGAGAACTCGGCCGGGCTCCGGTGTCGGCCTGTCGCCACCGAGGCCCGACCGACCGATCGAGCCGTGTTGCCATGGGCGGACACCAGCCG